TGCCTGCTTCCGGGTGACCTCCTGTTGCCTGTTACGGAGATTCTGTAAGCTCTGCCAGGCAGGGGGAAACCAAGGGGTGAGGATGACCCTGCAGTACTCCCTGCCCCAACCCTCCCCGCTCTGGCCAGGCCAGCAAGGGTGGGGAATGGTCCCAGGGCCCTGAGGTAGCTTCCCTAAGGTCACACACCTGTTTCGGAATTCCACACCACCCCTTCATCCAACACACACCAGCAGAGTTTTGGAGAGGGTGGTCCCTGCGACCAGCCAGGGCCCTGAGGCAGTACTAGCTGGAGGTGTACCCTGTGGGGCCTTAGACAAGCTCTAGGGGGCTTTCACACACTGTTGCCAGTGAGTCCTCACCTCCCTGGGGAGCTGGGAGGCAGTTAACTGGTGAGGGATTGGGGGGGGGGGCCGGGCAGGGGATCTGTCCAGGGTGCCGGGGAGTTAGTGGCAGAGCTGAAACTAGACTAGAGTTATCGAGATTTAGGATGGCCTGAGGGAACACCTCAGGTTGGAGGGGCCTCGGACTGTGAACAGGTGCCGCGTCCAGGTGCCCCCCTCGCCCCTCCCCCCGGCACCCCTCTTCCGGCCGCGCTTAGGTCCTCCTGTTCGCACTGCCGCCCTCCCTCCATCCTCCGCCTGGCTGAGACTGTTTTCCCAGTTTTCCTCGCTGCCCCCCTCAAATACTAACCTCCCCCCCCCCCCATCCCTTATGGGGCCCGAACTCCTCGGCGACCCTGAGTCCCCATGGCAACAGCGGTGACCTCACTCTGGGCTCGGCTTACAACCCCAGTGAGGTCACTGGCCGTTGCCAAGGGAAAGGGAGGGTGCAGAGAGTCAGGAAGGCGGGCACCGTGGGGAGGGGACGGTGTGGACTGCCAAAGGCGCCGACTAGATTGGGGAGCAGTCGGTTTCGCGCATCCTCGCGGGGGGCGGGAGGGCGCGGCCCCCTCTCGCCGGGTCCCCTGCCTCTCTCCCGTGACCTCCCCCTTTGCGGCCGAGGTAATGGACTCGCCCGGGCGGGGGCCGGTGCGCGGCACATCCCAGATTTCTGCCATCTGCTTATGAGCCTGGGCCAGCGAGGGGGACCACCACAGCCCCCGACAGGGGCATTAGAAGGGCAGGTGGAGCCGAGACCCAGAACATCCAGTGCCTGGAGAAGCGGAGCTAAGGGCAGGGGCAGGGCAGGTGGGGGGTGACTTGCAAAGGCGACTGCCTGACCAGTCCGTCCCCTTGTTCCTTGCTTGTGACCCCTCACAGCACTCCAATTCACAACTGCTCCGCTCTGTGAATCCCCAGCGGTGCCCTTGAGGGGGTACGCAGCTATAGGTAGCCTCACGGCACCTTCTGTCTGAGCCTTAGGGCTCCGCATCTGCAAAATGGGCAAAATAAGACCATCTCCCCAGGTGGCGGTGAGGATTGAAGGAGACGCAGAGCACGAAGCCAGTTGGCGGCCAGGGCACGACAGCTACTCAGGAAATGGAGCGGCCAGTCCTAAGGAGCCAGGATTTGATCCTGCGCCTCCCGTCCCCAAGCCGGCTGCGGGGACCGTTCTGCCGTCCTGCCGCACTTAGGAGAAAAAAGTCAGATAAGAAACCCCCTTCACCTGCCCCACTGGAGCTGGAAGCCGGTGTGGGCTTTCAAGCCCGGCCCCATGCTCCCCCCGCCACCGTCCGGTTAACCTCAGTGCCCTTCGCTGTAAAGGAGGCTACGGCTGTCCTGCCTGTCCCCAGACCTGCCGTCCCGGGCCGTGGGATACAGGGTAATGCTGAGGGTGTAGGGACGAGCTGAGAAAGCTCCCCTGCAGGCCTGCCCTGAACACTGTGGTTGCGGAGGAGCAGGCAGATGCTAAGGCTGTCTGCCGACAAACATCTGGCAGGCGTGTACTCGGGGCCTCGCGTGTGCAAGATGCCCCACCAGCTCTAGCCTCCAGGAGCATGCGGTCCAGCTGGAGCCGGGCAGGTGGGGGCCCGCGTGCCTCACCTGCTGGGTACGAGGGTGGGCAACGTGAGCTCCATCCACCTTTGGAGCAGCCTGGTGGGGTATCTGATGGAGGCCTGGTGCTGTCTGGCCCCCCACACTGCCTTGCGTCCACGCAGATGGTGACACCAGCCACAAATGAGGGGTTGCCCGGGGACCAATGAACATTGCCAGGCGGGCTGTAAGGCACTGGCACAGGGGGGCTAGGAGGGCTTCCTGGAGGAGTGGGCTTAACTGAACCTTCTTCTAGCAAGCACAGCTCGAGAAGCAAGCCCTGGACTAGAGCCCGGGGAGGCAGGTGCAGGAGGCATAGGCAGCCACACCCAGAGCTGGAGGCCTTGAATGCCAAGCCAAGGGGTCGGCCACTAGCAGGGAACCTTAGGGGATTGTGGGGGGGGGGCGGCAAAAGGGTGGTGTTTCTGGCAGCTTTGCAGGGTGGTGGATGGGGTGGAGTGCTTCCGGTATGGGGGCACTGAGGTGAGCAGGCCAGTGGGGAGGTCTGGGGCTGCAGAGACAGGAGCTGGGCCAGGACCCGGCAGAGAGGAGGAGGAGGTGCAGAGGTGTGCAGGGATTCCTGGCAGAGCAGGGGGCACCTGAGGGCACCTCTGGGTCAGATGCCCTGTGACCCTGCAGCTCCCTGATGCTGGCAGAGTCCCAGGAGTGCCTTCTCCGTGACTGTCCAGGCAGCCGGGCTGTGTTGACCACCGACTTGGTGCCAGCCACTGGGTTCTCCTCCCCGGCCTCAAGGAGCGCCTCATCTGTCCAGCTCCCTCATCCTGGTCAGAAGCCCTCTCTGCTGTTCCCTCCGGGGCCTGCCAGCTTCTGTGGATGGCACTCCACGGTGACAGAAAGCTCTTTACCTTCCAGCCCTGCCCTGAGAGGTCCACACTTGGTCTGCCCTTAGCCCCGGCTATGGAGCCTCCTGTGCCCATAGGCACGTCCTGGGTGCTGAAGGATGAAACTCTGGGGAGGTGGCAGGGTTCTGTCGTGCACCCAGCTTGTCGGGAGAGGCAGTCCAGACCCTCCTCGGTCATCCGCCACTGTGTGGATGCTGCCTGGGCCCACAGAAGCCTCCCCGAGGAGGTGAGAGGGCTGAGCGCGTTGGCGTGTGGATGGGGGCATCCATTCATGGAGAATTTCAGAAGCCCCCCATCTTATCACCAGGCACCCTGAATGTGATGCTGGCCCTTTAAAGCAGATCAGGGCTGGCTTTTGGGGGGAGACATCCCAGATTTCTGCCATCTGCTTATGAGCCTGGGCCAGCGAGGGGGACCACCACAGCCCCCGACAGGGGCATTAGAAGGGCAGGTGGAGCCGGTGGCTTTGATTGCAGTAACCCGATCCCGAGGGGGAGGTGGCAACCAGGGGCGGCTTCAGCCTCAGCCTCAGCGCCACTGCGGGGCCGCCAGGCTGGGAAGGCAGCGGCCTGCAGCTGAGGGCTGGGCTGGGAAGTGCTGGGGCTGGGGCCCGGGTCAGCAGCCACTGCCTCTTCTGCTGGCCCATCTATTTTTAATGAGCTCCCCAGGGTTCTGCAGCGGGCAGGATGCAGACAGGCAGGCCCAGGCAGTGGAGGCCCGAGGCCCCAGCCCTGCCCTGAGCCCTGGCCTCCCAACCTTTCTGGGCATGAGAGGGTGGCCCTGGGGCCCTGCAGCCCCCCGGCCGGGCAGGACTCTCCATGAAGTCGGTGCTGAAGATGGATTCGAGCCCAGACAATGACAGCTGGTTGGAGGATCAGTGGGAGCACTGGTAGGGCATATAGGGATTGGTGGGGGGGGGACACCTGGGGGGGCAGCTCCATGGAGCTCTGGGTCTCTGTTTGGTCTGACTGAGGCAAGAGGCGGGGCGGGGGGGTGCGCCTCCTAGGTCCCCCTGGGGGCTGGGCCACCACCTCTCCTGGGTGACCTTGGACTCCTGGGTGTCCCTTGCTGTGTGCCTCAATCTCCTGGTCTTATTTGGAAAAAGGCTCAGAACTGGCCCCAACTTCCTCCAACAGAATTCTCCCAAACATCCCAGCCACACCAAGCCAGGTGGAGTGCCCGGGGCTGGTGGTGAGCCAGGTGCTGGGGACAAGCCCACAGTCGCTGCAGTGGGGTTGGGGGCACAGCGCTGGCCTGGGGGGCGGGGGGAGAGGGTTCTGGCACAGCCAGTTAGAATTGTGGTGCCGATGTGCTTTGGTCTGTCCCCGAGCTCACGACACCTCTAGCCCCAACTCCGGGCCTTCCTTGAGCCCTCTGCAGCCTTCTGTCCAGGGTCTGTGCTCTGGGCAAGCGATTTTGTGGTTGAAGAGATGAAATGAAGAACCCAGAATGGGGGGGTGTAGTCTCTCATGGAACAGGCTGAAACTCACCACATTGACGCCACATTTCCCTTCACTTGCTCCCAGGGCTCAAGAGGCTTTGGTCTTCCTGGGCTGGGGGCATGGAGCACTCTCCTGAGGCTGGGGAGGGGCCTCTGCCAGCACCTCAGGTTTTATCGCTGCAGGGGTTGCACGGGGAACCCCCTACTCCAGGTATCCCTTGGAGTCACTTCTCAACTCTGCATTCTCCATGGGTGAACTGGCCTCGGTACCTGCCCTGACCCTGGGAGGCATTTCTCTGGCCGAGCTGAGGCTCTGACCAGCTGGGCCTTCCAGGCACTGCCTCCTGATTGGCAACAGAATGGATAGCTCCCAGCCGGGAGGAGCGGGAATAACCTGGAGCCTCCCCTTTCCCTGCCTGTTACCCCTTGCCTCAGTGCGGGTGGACACCAAGTCCCATTCTCTGGGGGCTGTGATCTGCCTTCAAGGGGCCGCCCCTTGGAAGAGGTACTAGGAAGACCTCGGTGGGCTAAGTAGTGCCCCTGAGTTGGTAACTTCGGCTTCCTATGCTCACCAGGCTCACCCATGACATCAGCTTGGAGGAGTTTGAAGATGAAGACCTCTCAGAGATCACCGAGGAGTGTGGCATCAGCCTGCAGTGCAAAGACACTCTGTCCTTGCGGGTAAGAGCCGGCTCTCAGGAGCCCCGGGGGTGGGAGGACAGTGGGGGACAGGGTGGGTCGGGACAGGAGTGAAGGCATCCCCATATCTACAAAAGGGCCTTCAGGGTCTATATGGCATCCTCATGAAATGAAGTGCTCCATCAGGAGTTTTTGATTGTTTTTGCCAGGGGGGCCAAGGCAAGAGGCAGCTCCCTCAACTGCCCACAAGAAGGGAGAGCCAGGAGGTCTTCAGATGGAGGGCAGTAGCAATTAGGGCCAGGCTTAAAGGAGGGGTCAGGACTACCCTAAACCCTTTCCAGAGCGGCCTTGGCAGAGGGCCTGAGGCAGAGCAAGGGTGGAGTCTGGTGGACTCTGCAGTGCTTCGGGACAGGAGAAAAAGAGCCAAGGCACTCCCTCAGCTACCATTGCACCAAACCACGCCACACAGCCCCGCACACCCTCCCTGGCCCGCCATTCTGAAGGCTCCTCCCGAGGGTTAACCCAGCATTGCCGCTGCTTTTGGCCTCCTGGCTTTGTCAGAGGACAGATGGCTCTGTCCGTTCCCTGAGTTCTGAATCCTGCCAGGAGGTCCTCAGCATCTGGGTAGCTTGGGTCAGACAGGGATCCCCGTGTCTTTTTCAGAACAGGAAGAAGGGGCCACTGGCCAGGAAACAGGAGGCAAAGCACAGGACTAGGTTGCAGAGCCCAGAGCTTCTGGCAGCCCCCAGCAGGGTGGGTGGCCAAAGCAGACGTGGTATTAGGAGAACGGTTAGCAAAGGAGAGCTGACGTGTGAGCC